ATTGCTTTGATATTACATATATAGATACTACATGTAGACCTTTCGCAGATTTGTTCATTTTGTGATGATATCTTCAGTTATCTAATTTTGGTGAATATTTTTGTCATTTTTGGTAAAAAGTGATACTTCTTGTTGAAAACTGTAAGTCCGATTGCTTTGATATTACATATATAGGCACTACATGTGGACCTCTCTCAGATTTGTTCATTTTGTAATAATATCTTTAATTCTCTAATTTTGGTGAATATTTTTGTCATTTTTGGTAAAAAGTGATATTTTCGACTTCTTGTTAAAAAATGTAAGTCCGATTACTTTGATATTATTCATATTGTTCATTTTCTAATGATGTCTTCAGTTCTTTAATTGAAATGTGCATTGCTAACAGCGGAGCTATCTCAGCCGATAGGCTGCTTGTTATTTATGCTAGTGATGTGACCTTGTATTGGCCCTTCTATCCAGTGCTGTGTATTAGCTTTTATCAGTAAGCAACAACCTTTCGAAGAGTAGTTCGAAACAGGAACTTATGTTTTAGGTTCCATCTGCCCACGCAACTTCTTTTCGCAGACATGCCTGGATTAATTTTGTTCAAAGTTAATACAAATGTCCAAGAATTTTGTGGCAAAATTGCTTACATTGTTCAGCAGGTTTTGTTTGACATAAAACCCCACACGCTCGGGCAGTGGATAATTAAAACATGTGCACTGCAAATGTACATGTAATCTTCTTGAAGAGAGTCTAAGATGATTTCTGTTACTGTGTGTAAAATGTACACAAATTGACAATGTTTTTGACTCCGGTGATTAGGTTTTGGGTTGAAATCCATGCATATTAATTACCTGATTTGCATGATAATAAGCTAATTTTTAGCTGTTCCCTGACTGTTCCACTGATACCTGAAAAGTCGTTCATTAAATTTTGATGAAACTTGGTACATAGATGCTCTGGACTAATGCACAAATGTGATTAGTTTTGGGTAAAAATCCATGCATATAATTAACCTAATTTGCATAATGATTAGTTAATTTTCAGCTTTTCCACTGATATCTCAGGTACTAATCCTCACATTTCAATGAAACTTACATATATACATAGGACGATGAACAGTCAGATATGTGAGATATTAATTACCTAATTTTCATAATTAATCAATTTTCAGCTTTTGATGTTTCAAGTACTATTACTTCATTACTTTTCAATGAAACTTGGTACATAGATGCTCTAGAACAATCCAAAGACCTGATTAATTTTAAGTAAAGATGTGTGCATATTAATCAACTGATTTGCATAATTAGTTAATTTTTGGCTTTTACACTGATATCACATGTACTGATTATTCCATGTCAATGAAACTTGGTACATTGATGCTCCAGAACAATGCACAGACCTACTCAGTTTTGAATTAAAATCAGATCATATTAATTACCTAATTTGCATAATAAATCATAATTCTTGGTTCTAATCACATTTCAATAAAATTTCGTACATGGTCTGTGACAGTACTTATCTTAATTCACTGAATCTTGGTACATATGTACTCTAACACAATGTGATGATCAAATTAGTTTTAGGTTTATATACATCTATAATAATTACCTAATTTACATAATAATTTACTTTTCAGCTTTCCACTAATTTAGTTAGGATTAATCATCACATTATAATGAAACTTTGTACATGTGTGCCCTGAAACAATAAACAGTCCTAAATTTATGCATAATAATTGCTTAATTTGTATAATTCATTTGGTTCATTGAGGTAGTAATCCACAGACATGATTAGTTTAATGTTGATAAACATGCATATTGATTATCTATTATTAGCCCATTTCTGATATCTAAAAAAATCAGATTTAAATTGAATTCATCGCAGAGGTGCCCTGGAATAAATTAGACTGAAAACCATGGATGGAAAATCATTTCAAATGTATTTTCTGTATGTATTATAAATTTTGATAATGTGAATCACATTTTTGTCATGTTATGCATAGCAGACAAAAATTAGTTGGCAAGCTTCTCGTTTGAAAGCAAATCTTAAATTTCTCCAATACTTTCAGCACACGAGAGTTCTTTCTATGCTTTCTTTGATTGTTTTTTAGTCCCCATTCGGACGAAGTACGTGCGCCCGTGTGTTCCATGTGTCCGTTTGGAGCCATTTCTCGAACACCCTTTGACCGATCTCATTCATACTTGGTGTACAGACAATGTATGATGACCTACATATGCCTGCCAATTTTCGTTATGAAATAAATATGGCTGACTGGCAGCCATTTTGTTCCTCAAAAAACGTGTCCGGAACTGTTTCTCGGAGCTAAACAGGGCGATTTCAATCAAGCTTTGTATGGTGATCATGCATATTGGGTTATAGGTGCACGTCACTTTTTTTCCCGAGATTCGGCCCAAGATGGCTGACTGGCGTTCATTTTGTTTTTTTTCTATTTTCATGCTGATTCCCCCATAACATATTGCCTGATTCAGTTCAAAGTTTGTACATAGGTACTATACTTCAAGATAACACAACACCATGTTTTGTTTTGAGATTTAATTAAATTTGTCGAAATGGCAGCCATTTTGTTTAATATCTTAAAATCACAGTCTGTAACGTGTCCGGAACTGTTTCTCAGAGCTGAACAGGGTGGTTTTAATCAAACTTTGTATGGTGATCGTGCATATTGGGTAATAGATGCATGTCAATTTTTTTTTGTTTTCAAGCCGATTCCTCTGAAAGATGTGGTGTGATTCCCATGAAAGTTTGTACATAGTATACTGCAAGATAACACAACAACATGTTTTGTCTTGAGATTTGATCAAATTTGTCGAAATGGTGGCCATTTTGTCAAAAAAAACATAAAATATCATTCTGTAACATGTCCGGAACTGTTTCTTGGAGCAGAACAGGGCGATATGGCCTGATTCAGTTGAATAGGGCATTTTCAATCAAACCTTGTACGATGACCTTACATATTAGGTTATGGTGTAAGCCATATTTCTTTTGAAGATACTTAAACACCAATACCCGACTGGCTGCGTTTTTCTGTCATGCTATTTCCTCCGTAAGATATAGTCCAACTCAGTTCAAAGTTTCCACATAGGTACTATACTGACAGTAACACAATCTATAATCTGTGTTAAAAAAACATTGATCTTTCATTTCTACATGTACTGAACATTTACATCAACTACAGCTAATACTTAATGGGGACTATGCATTATCAATGCTTGTTTCACTTTATTGGTGATTTTGAACAGATATGAAGCGGGTAGATGTTGCCCCTATCTGTGGTTGAAATTAACATACAGGATTAGGTTGATGTTATTGGCACACACTGTAACCCAAATCCAGTCATTTGTATTGTATTCATCTTGTATTTAAATAATAATCCATGTTTTCTTTCAGATATTTGCCATCAGGTGCTGGATCTATACACTGGTCAAGACCCTACTAAATCAGAGGGAATTTCTATGTCTGCAAAACACAAAATGGGAAGACCGGTAAGTGTAGCCTTCTTTTAAGTCGCCGTTGCTTCTTCGGAAGTCGTTTGATTCCTGGAGTTGGCCTCAACAATTCAGCTGTTGTCATGCGATGTCATTAAGTTTTATTGGCGTTGTATGTGATGTATTGGACTTCATGAATTGTGGGAAATATTTGAGGATTTGCTAGGATTATCCTTTATGATTATCCTCTTCGCAGTATTGTAAGTTTTTGCTGCAGACAATTTTTATGATTTGCCAATTTAATGACATCTATATAATTAAAAAAATGTCGCACAATTTGCTGCAATGCTATATTACCTCAGGAAAATTTTCACTTTCACAAAAACTTTTAATTTTCTAGTAAATCAAATCTATGAGTTATACTGATTGAAATCAGATGTATTGCATCATTTATCGACTAAGCTATTATTTGTCCTTACTACAATAAATCCCATCATGCATTGCTGTTCAAATTCTGCTTCAGGAGTTTACTAAACACAACTAACCTGAGAAGTATGTAATGTTTGCTGTTCAGCGTTCGCTCTGATGTAGTGATAACATGAGTAAAATCTTGTAGTTTCTTGTTAATACCATAATAGCTGCTGCATTTAATATGAAACATATACTAATAACATGTCAAAGGCAACATTTTTCACCAGCTTCACAACTTCAACAGTAATTTGATACAAGGTTGGATTTTGTGAATCTGTGGGTGTCAAAACACTGTTCAAAAACATTTTGAACAAAAAATCAAATGGAAGTGGAAAGCCAGCATTCAGACATGTGGGATATACATGGATGAGAATTTTGATACACATGTAGTTAGTTATTAAGGGTAAATACAGTAAAACTGGAAGACAAATTTTCACAAGCTGGTGAATTTCTTGAATTTTTCTAGCAGTGTAAATTTCCCTGGGGCCATACAACGTGCCATTAAATCATCAAATTGCGGGAATTCCCAGCAGAGAAAATGAAACAGTTTACAATACCTGTCTCAAATCAATTGCTACATGTATGTGATTATAATATAAAAGGGCAGTGGGTGTTGCACTGTGTCATGTTTGATATGGATGTGTACAACACATGTAAAATGTATTTTTTATTTGCTGGTACTCAAAATTTGACTACCGATGTTTTAACAGTGCTGTTGTGGCTGCCATCTTTCACAACTAGTGTTACTATATTTAACAATTTGTAAAGAACTGTGTGTGAAAATTAGAATTTCCACTAGCGAAAAAAAAAAATTTCTTTACATTACTAATTCCTGGATGGTGAGTGAGGCTGTGTTCAGAGGTTAGATCATGTATAAATCTCACTGGTTTATTCATTTCCAGAAAACACCACCAGAGCCTG